AAGAATGAATGAATCAGCGTTTCCACGTCAAGTCCCATTCAGCGAGCTCACGTCAGGGAAAAGACCACGTGGTTGCCGTCTTCGAAGATAAAAGGACCAGCTCAAAACAACACCGAAAGCCACTGGACTTGAGCCAAAATACCAACTGGCAATGTTCCACCACCATCGGAACCAAAAACTTTGAGCCACCAGAAGAGAAAAGGAAGAAATCAAACGACAAGAGAGAAAGGCTCAAGAAAATCAAGGTCACCTTCCACCAACATTACCATGCAGTCAATACCATCGGCTCTTCCGTGCAAGAATTGGTCTACTTAATCATCAACGCCATCACCATAAAGGAAGCGATCACTAAACAAGAAATTAAATTCTTGGATACAAGATAAAATTGACGACATTGACAAATATTCAACATAGAAACAGCAAAAGGTTATTTTATTTAAAAATGCCGCTATCGTAGATGGTCTGAATATAAAACTCGGAATGATATAATAGACCAATATCTGTATTGGAAAAAAATGTATCTTTTACGGGAAGAAAAATGCAAGAATTTGGTATGAACACCACCAGGGATCGGACCTGTAATCATTTTAAAGGACTTTACAATACACACAGGCAGAACAATCAAAGCTAATCGCCCAGACATCGTGATAAGAGACCACAAAAATAGAATATGTCTTCTTATTTATATATTAAGAAATGGACAAAGTCCGGCAATTTATTTATTAAAGACATTTTATGTTTAACGTTCTTTTTTATAGATACAAGTATTTAAGTAAATGCTCTGTCTATAATAAACAGTATTAAATAACATTTACCGGCCTGAATGTCCGAGAAATTTTCATGACGGTTCAGTATAGGATGCAGGTTCGAATCCTGTCAAAGGGCGAATATTTTCTATGAAAATTTCTCGGACATTCAGGCCGGTAAATGTTATATAATACTGTTTATTATAAACAGAGAATTTACTTAAATACTTGTATCTATAAAAAAACAACGTTAAACATAAAAATTCTTCTTCTTTATCAATAAAATTGTAAGATCGTACAAAAATTATTAAAATATAAGGACATCAAGAATTCCACTTGTAGTTGTAGGCTTCGGTCTGAATGAAAAAAGTTCCGATGTACTCACTGAATGGATCCCTGATAGCCCAAGCCTTAAAGAAATACAAGACATTGTACTCCCACCTTACTGAGAGCTTTATCTATGTAAAAGGGTGTGGTCTTAGTTTGTTTTTGCGTTTTTTTTTTTGTTTGTTTTTATGGGGTTTTTTTTGGGGGGGGTTCAAAACATTCTCAGTGGAAAATGTCATAATGCCATTTCTGACATTAGGCCTTTGGGTGGGCCCCGGAAAGAAATGAGTATACACCAGAAATCAAAGGAAATAATAATAATAATAATAATATGTGCACTGGAAGATATGCAAGAAGCACAAAATCAAAACCACTGAGAGATGGTATGAACATCAACCAGACACAGTTACCCAAAATAACGATGTAACTATCCTCTGGAACATGCCAATTCAAAATGACACGATTAATAAAAGCCAACAGACCTGATATTATCATAAAAGACAAGAAATTCAGGAAGTGAATGCTTATTGACATAGCAGTATCATCTGAGAGAAACATTATCGAGAAATTGTCCAAATACAAGGAGCTGGAGATCGATATTAACAGGATGTGACGAATGAAGACTGAGACTGTACCAATAATAGCCGGAGCTCTGGGCCTCGTGAGAAAAGGAATGGGCAATTTTACTAACAGTGTACCAAGTAACATCAACATGCAAGTTGCCTAGTACATCGCTCTACTAGGAACATCCCACATACGAAGAAAAGTGCTATCAATTATATGGCAATTCTCTTATGCGGTCTAAGGACCATACTTTGGACCCGACTCTACAGGATACAAAGCAGAGAATATGACATACACAAATAATAATAATAATAATAATAATAATAATAATAATAATAATAATGGGCGTAGAGATGCAACTACAGCACAATACACCGGCTGAAACTGCAAAATACCGAAAAAAAGACAGCAAAGACAAATGCAACCGACCAGTTACAGAAGCGATGGCAAGATAAACCGCTTCATGGCCAGTACTCTGCCCGTACCAAACAAGTTGACGTAAACAAAACTCGTACCCATCAGTGGCTACGTAGTGCAGGGTTGAAAGCTGAAACTGAAGGTTTTATCCTTGCTGCGCAGGATCAATGCTTGCTAACTAGGAATTATCAAGCACATATACTAAAATATTGTGTCAGCCCAAAATGCAGATTCTGTGATAAATATCCAGAAACGATGGATCATCTTGTATCAGGTTGTACGGTGTTGGCACCCACTGAATATAAAACCCGACATGAGAGAGTGGGCCAATATCTGCACTGGAAAATCTGCAACTTCTACGGGAAGGAAACTGAAAGAAACTGGTATGAACACCACCCAGACCCGGTTACGGAGATAGGACCTGTTACAATTCTATGGGAATACACAATACACACTGACAGAACAATCAAGGCCAACCGGCCAGATATTGTTATTAAAGACCACAAACAAAAACGATGCCTCCTTATTGATATGGCAGTCCCTGCTGACTGCAATGTATCTTTGAAGATATTCAAAAAGTTGTCAAAGTACAAGGACCTTGAAATAGAAATCTCGAAAATGTGGCATATGGGAACATGAACAATCCCTGTTGTAGTTGGAGCCCTAGGACTGGTTGGAAAAGATTGCAGTAGACTAATTGAAGGGATTCCTGGAAGTTCATGCCTCAAGGAGATAAAAAAATTGTTCTGACAAGTACAGCCCACACTTTACGAAGGGCTCTATCTATGTAATTTTTTTTTTTTTTGTCAGTGGAAAGTGTCATGATGCCATTTCTAACCTTAGGTCCCTGGACGGGACCCGGAAAGAAATGTGTAAACGCTAGAAATCAAAGATAATAATAATAATAATAATAATAATAATAATAATAATAATAATAATAAAAACTATCAAAATACAAAGATCTTAAAGTGAAAATCACAAAAAAGTGGCACATGAGGACATCGATAATTCCAGTTGTAGTTTGGGCCCTCCGATTGATTGGTAATGGTTCCGATAGACTCATTGAAGCAATCTCTAGTAGTCCATACCTTAAAGAAATACAAAATAAAAATTCTTACAAATCACAGCTTACACATTACGAAGATATGTATAGTTGTTTTATTTTATTTATTTATTTTTTTTTTTACTAACAGTGTCCCAGGTAACATCAACATACTAGTTGCTCAGAAGATCGCCCTACTAGGAACATCCCACATACTAAGAAAAGTGCTATCAATTAAGTGATAATTCTTCTATAGGTCCTAAGGACCATAGTTTGGAACCGGCACTATGGGATAAAAAGCAAGAAATCTAATATACACAAATAAAAATAATAATAATAGTCGACTCTCCCGTCGAGACTCGACGTATGAGGGTCAAGCAGATCAGTTTCCAGGAAACCGACAGCCCGACACCGGCACATGAGATTTGATTATAGTGGTGAAGGCCTCGTGCAGGACCATCCACACTTTTTGAAGGGACGAATACAGAGACCTGGTGCACCGAATGCCACAAGGTTCCCAAACGACCCTCCGCAGGTTTTGAATTCAGAGTTGTCCTTCTCCTAGACCAGTTGCCATCCAAGGCTATAGAACCCAGTCTGTCCTGCTATTTTACCCATAGCTGGAGGGAGAGGATTCACACCTTTCCCAAGGGTATTAGCACATAAGTGAATGTAATGGATTCGACTGTTTGCTTAATAATAATAATAATAATAATAATAATAATAATAATAATAATAATAATAATAATGGGGGACTTCAGTGATTTACTGTTTGCTGATAAGGTATTTTCAGTAAATATTAATTTCTTATTTATCCTCAAAATGAGCCAGCACAGCCAGATAACAATGATATATATGTGCAGCAGTGAAAGTGTTTAGTAATATAACAATTTGACTTATGAGGTAAGTCACCTTGATATTCACATATAAATACATACCTTTTCATTTTCTCTTAACAATGAGCATGTGTCTCAAAAGTATTTTCATTTTTTTAACAGATCTTTTTTATGTTTTATTTTTTGTTAAACTAATGGTGTACATATGGTATTTTCCAATGATCCTGACTGAAAGTTTTCGAGTACTGTTTGTCTGTTTCTCCTCTAGTTTGTATTTTAAAGCATCATAATTGGCAAATGATAATCGTTCGTTTCTAGGATTTCTTTTAATGGACAGGTCACCCTTTTTAAAATGCTTAAACCAGATTTAAGCAATATGGTTAGATATTGTTTTATTTCTTTCGGCTTCTCAAATTATGATTGATTAACTCGTTTTCTAAGGCTTATCAACGCTTTGAAGGTTATTTACTAATTGACCCATACCTAGAGAAAGGAAGAGGTGGATTCATGCCTTTACAAGAATATTTTCACGTAATTGAATATAAGGAACCCAACTAGAATTGGAACTCGGCGCTCCGATTAACAATTCTGATCCATTATTCATTACACCACCTGCACACCGAAGCTTACAGCACCTGGTATTCCCAAGCCTCAACAACAAACTCAAAACCTCTCCACCAAATATTGATTCATTCATTCATTCATTTTCTACGGCTTATCAACCCATTTCATGCCATTTAAAACCAGAAAATAATTTTTTGAGATAATAATGTTTTAGTTATACAGATCTTACTAATTAACCCATAGCTGGGGGCAGAGAGGTGGATTCATACATTTCCCAATGGTTATCTTCTGTTTTCTTTTATTGTTCTCACTCCTTAATAGGATTTTTCTCATATTCTCTCACACTCAGTAACACCTTACGTCTTAGTGCCTTTATTCCCCTTCTTGGGGTGAACTTTTTTTTTGTTGTTTTTTTTTTTTAAAAAAAAAGGGAATATAACGAACCCACCTCTCCGATTAATAATTCCGAGCCATTATCCATTACACCACCAGCACATCCAAGCTTATAGCACCTGCCATTCAGCAGTGGCCACCCATCTAGTTACTAAACAGGCTCAACGTTGCTTAACTTCGGTGATCGTACGGGGACCGGTCTTTCAATGTGACATTGCCGTAAGCCCATTGCATACTTTGCACATCCAAGCTTACAGCACGTGGCATTCCGAAGCAGTCACCCATTTAAGTTCTAACCAAGCTCGACGTTGCTTAACTTCGGTGATAGTACGGGAACGAGTGTTTCAACTTGATATGGCT